AAAAACATGATGTTGGGGCCGGGGAGCTGGCTCAGTGGAATAAGCGCTTCCCTGGCAAGCGCAAGGGCCTGAGTTCAATCCCCGGTTCCGCAAAAAAAACCCAAAACATGATGTTGCTTTACAATTCTGTTTTTAAGCATACAACCATTTATTTGTTTGCATGTTTTTGTGGGTACTGGGAATCAAACTCAGAACCTCAGGCTTGTCAGGTAGGTGATGTACCACTGAGCTAAATCCCCAATCCATAAATCTCTGAATCACAAAAGATTTGAAAGGGTAAGGCTGAGTTCCCTCCACTCATACAGGCGCTCTTCACTATGATCAGTGACCTCTACTCAACACCAGAAACTAAAAACTCGTTATTGCATAAGAAAACATAAAAACTCTCTCTCTCCCTATTTTCTTCTTTTTTTTCTTTTTGTGGGACTGAGGACTGAACCAAAACACACTACCATTTAGCTGCATCCCCAACTCTTTAAAAATTTATTTTACTTTGAGGCAGAATCTCACTGAGTTGCTTAGGCTGGCCTTGAACTTGTGACCCTCTCACTTTGTCCTCTCAAATACCTGGGGTTACAGGCCTTTGCAAGCTCACTATTACCAAATAGATGCAACGTTTTCTACTCAGGAGACTGTAAAATATTTCAAAATGGATACAGTGTCTTTTAATTTCCTCCAGGTTATATAGTCTCAGTTTTGGACATTCCGTATCTTTAAGAACCCAGCCTGACATCCTCTAGATGACCCAATTACTCAGTATTTCTCTTAAAACATAACTGCGTGTTGGGCTGGTGAGATGGCTCAGTGGTCTAAAGCACCTACTTAGAACAAGCTAAGCTAAGCAAAGCCCAGGGACCACGGTTCAATCCCCCAGCACCACATGCCAGCCAGCCCCGCCCCCTGGTGGGCTGAGCTGGCCACACACACACACAAAATAAAGAAATAAATAAATATTAAAAAATAAATAAATAAAATTTTATTTAAAAAAAAACAAAAACATAACTGCGTGAAAAGATCTCTTTTTACCTGGGAGGCAAAGGAAAATGAGTTCAATCCCATCCAGGCAATTTGCTGACATAGAGACTATTTCCAAATAAATCATTTGAAAGGGCTGGGGATGTAACTTCAGAGCAAAGGCCTTAAGCTCAATTTCCAGTAACAAAAAACAAAACTTTCTAAAGACACTCAAGGTAATATAATGTACGATTAAACAAAAATCATGTTTAGTAGGGCAAAGCTACTATCTAATCTGAATCAGAGAATCTTTTTAAACTTTATTTTTTAATAGTACATATTCATCATACATATTGATCACATTAACCACAGGGAATTTGTACATACTGTAACTTAATTTTTTCCCTATTCACCTCCTCACCCTTAAAAACCTCCTCCCCTCCCCATTTACAAAGCTTTGCTTTCATTTTTTTCCTTCCATTCTCTTTTTTGTTTTCCTCCTTTCCCTTCTCTCTCTCTGATTCCCCTTCTCACTTGGAACATTTTTTCCCTACTTCCCAAGACAGCTATTCCCCTTCTAGGTATCTTCTTGGAAGAATAAAAAGCATCATACTACTGCATGCACTTCTATGCTTACAACAGCACAAATACGCAAGCTGCTCCAGCCCGGCCCCCAGGGGCGCTGAGCCCGGGATGGAGTCCAGGCTCGGTGGTGCGCGCGCCTGGAATCCCAGCACTTGGGAGGCAGAAATCAAGAGGATTACTACTAATGTGGGCAATGTAGTGAGATCCTGTGCGCGCGCGCACGCACACACACACACACACACACACAGGAAAAAAAAAAAAGAAAAAAGAAAACAGCACAAATAGCAATAGCCAAATTTTGCAAACAGCCCAGATGCCCATCAATGAATAAATGTGGGTTTTATATATAATGGGCTACTACTCTGCCATAAAGAAGGATAAATCTGAGACATTTCTAGATAAATGAATGCACTTGGAGACCATAAAGTTGAAATAAATAATACATAAATGTTTAAATATTGTGTTTTTCCTATTAGAAGGGAAACCACAGAACTTTTTTGTAGCCCTCACTCAGGTAATTAGGTGAAAACTATAAAACCCCAGGACATTAGTATGACTTCAACCAAAGGACTGGAATAGCGGAAAGAGAAAGTGAGAACAGTCCATATTCCTCACAGAAAGAGCATCGTGCATGCGATAATTAATACAGGTTTAAAATTCTTTTCATAAAATGTACTTCCTTAATTCAATTTAAGGAATGCCTTTATAATAATGTAGACCACTCCCAAACACCTATCCCCCACACACTGAAATGCAATTTGCCAATTACCAGATGGTAACAAGAAAAAGAAAAGCAACTAAGACAACTTGCTTTCCAGTATGCTAATAAGACAATATGGAGAACCATCAAGAGTATCAGCAAAAAATCATGATTACAGAGATTTAACTGCCAATTAACCAGGACTTATTAAACAGGCAAATATCTCTCTGCACTCAGTGATCCTCCTGCCTCAGCCTCCCAAGCACTGGAACTACAGTTGTGTACCGCCACATCTGGCCTGAAATGTTGAGGTAGGTTTGTTTTGGGGTGTGGTTTACAGACATAAAATGATTCTACATATTAAATCTGAACTTAACATTCCTTCGAATAAATGTACTTAATTCACACAGTAACTTCTTTTGGATTATATATACAGTACCATCACCTGTAATTAGTATTCTTTCCTTAAATCCACCCATTTATTGTCCTTTTTCTTGCCCAGTTACATCAACTGAGACCTCCAAAACAATCAGTCCCTCATACTCATGGGCTCCACATTTGGGAATTCAACCAATTGTCAACTGAAATTATTCAATGATATTCAGGGGCCAGCCAAATAGCTCAGCAGATTAAAGTGCAAGTAAGCAGGTGCAGGGGGCAGGGGTTCAAGGGTTTGATCCCTGGGCCCGCCGTGTCAGCTATGCCCTCCGGGCACACTGAGATGGCAATTGAGACTGGGTGTGGTGGCACGTGCCTGTAATCCCAGTTCTTGGGAGGCTGTAAACAGGCAGATCACTATGAGTCCAATCTAGTAGTGAGACCCTGTAGACCCTTCCCTAAAATTTAAAAAAAAAAAGATATTGAGAAAAAAAAAGCATTAGATGTGTACATACTTTCTTCCTTGTCATTATTTTATTAACAATAAAGTATAATAGGTCTTTACATTTTATTAGGTATTATGAGTAACCTAGAGCTATTTCAAGTGTATGGGAATGTTATTAGCAAATACTACACTGTTCTGTACAAAGATTTGAGCATTCACAGATTTTGGCATCAACCACATTCCTGCTATCAAATCCAAGGATACCAAGAGGACTATACTACAAACACAGTTGTCTAGGTCCTACCCTTTAAATGAGGATTCATTATAACTGAAGCAAATACACACAAAATGCCTACCCTGTAGAAATTAGATTCTAATTTTTGACATGAAGACGATTTTGTTTTAAACAAGTTCTGCGGATCCCTGGGCCTGCCATGCTGGCCCTGCCCCCAGGGCACATTGAGAGGGCAACTAAGACTGGGTGTGGTGGCATGTGCCTGTAATCCCAGCTCTTGGGATGCTGTACACAGGAGAATTATTATGAGTTCAATCTAGTAGTGAGACCCTGAACACCCTGTAGACCCTTCCCTGAAATACAAAAAAAACTACTACTACTACTACTACTACTACTACTACTAATAATAATAATAATAATAATAAGTTCTGACAACTCTAAAATATAAAGGTTATAATATGGGAAACAGAATCACAACTGCAATAACTTGACCTTCCAGGTAAAAGCAGGCCAGTGTTAATGAGCACAAGAATTTTCTGAGACTCTCAACTAAATTTATATCATACAATTTCCTATGGAGAAAATCCATGAATATCTGACATAGAATTAGGAATTAATTTTTTAATATTTATTTATGTCTGAGAGAAAATATAATTCTTAAGTTTGAAGTACATACATGGTTCTTTAGTGTTCAGCCTAAAAAGAGACTGACAAAATTTATCACAGGATTCTAAAAGCCCTTCTTCAAATATCTGCTCAGTTACCTGCCCTTATTCCACAAGGTTAATTTGCGCAAAAGAATATGCAGTTCCCTAAAACATCTATAATGGTAACAGCATGGATTTGAAAACAGACTTGAGAAACTATACAAGGGTGAGAAAATGAACATTACAGGTTTTATAGGCTATATGTTTTGTACTACTTGGCACTACCTTGGTAGCATGCAAACAGCCACAGACAATAGTTAAGTGAACTGTGCCATTGTATTCTTATAAATTAAAAAAAAAAAAAAAAACAATAGCAGTAGGCTAATTTGGCCCTCAGACCATACTTAACAAACTCCTGAAACATATGATCAAAAATAGCTAACAATTAAGCCAAGCCATCAATGAAATGCTTTTTAGAGAAAACCTTATCCTTTATTTATGGTAGAATTCTATCTCCAACTATGGAAGCTGAACACAGCAGATTTCTTTTTCCAACCTCTCATACAATTAAAGCATGAACAAACTATCCAAGTGTCATTAATGCTAGATTTTTGGATCAGAGCTAGTGATAACAAAAGCAAGAAATGCAGAATCCTTCAAAGCTAGTGGTAACAGCAACGTCTCCCAAAAGAGGCATTGTGTAGTACAGCTACCAAGTAGTGTAAGCTGTGGGACACCCTG